ATCTTTTGATTGATTAGCCATTAAAAAAAGAACAAATTGGAATTATTTTGAAAAAAAAAATGAATGCCGCTAGGATCGAACCCTAGCCGCCCGCGTGGCAGGCGAGCACGCTGCCAACTCGACAACGCGCCAATTTTGAAATTATAATTTCATTAGTAGTATATATTCAATACATTGAATAATTTTTTTCATTTGAAATTCCACAAGGGGTGGTTTCCCTCTTCCGCTCGTTCTACAGTCGACTAAATTTCTGTTATAAATAGAAAATACATACAATATAAATACAATAACAATAAATAAAAAACAAAAAGCATTCCTGCTGCAGAAAATAAAATTCACCCCGTCGACTTGATAGACACCCCCGCATTGCGTGTGGCGCCCTCCCTCTCTTCGGGTGCAGTACTACGATGCCGCTGGGATCACCCCAACCCCCAGAACTGAGCCTCAGTAACTCACTGACGAACAATCGTGAACAATCGAGAACGACGAAAACATCAGAAACCAGGGGAATTGCATCATGTGAGTGTAAATTAATCCTAGATTCCTCCTAACGATCCTAAAAAATGTCATCATCATCCTAATAACTGCCTCCCTGCCTTCACACCTGGAGAATAGTAAAAAATCACTGTACGCCAACCTAAAACTCTTCGTTTAGCCCAGAAATTCCGATAACCTCATATTGCGTTGTGTTTTTTTCTAGAGTGACGTTTGAGTAATTTACAATGTTGCTCGCAAGAGTTTGTAAAGCAACAATTGCCCCCCAGGTGAGTTCCCTGTTGAAGACACCAGTGGTTGCACATGGAAGTCGAGTCCAAGTTGCAAGACTCTTCGGGAATGAGGGACGTAGCACATTTTCGAGGGCAGCACGAAATAGGGGTTCTCTGGTAGAAGATGCTGTCAAACCAACTGCTGAAAAAGGTAGGAAGTACAGACCCCAAGGATAATCAGCATATCTTCTACATTTTTTAAATTTATTCATTGCAGCATTTAACATTGGAAGAGGCTTCGTAGCTGGTAGTGCAGTGCTAGGTCTCGGAGCCCTGTGCTACTATGGAGCTGGATTATCACCCACGACAGGAGCCATAGACCACGCAGCGTAAGCATTCAGAATACTTAATCCCATGGAAATTAATTTATTTGATGAAAATTCCTCTTATTTATCGATAGTTGACCTTTGATTCAATGCAATCTATGCGAAAACTGATGCAATCCCCTATTCAAGAAGAAATAACACAATTTTTTGGTTCACCTTCAGATTATGGCCCCAGTACGTGAAAGATCGTATCCACACAACATACATGTATTTCGGAGGATCAGTACTGGCAAGTGGAGCAGCAGCAGCAGCTTGTTTGAGATCCCCGACGATAATGCGAATGGTTACCCAAGGGGGATGGGTAGCCATGGGAGTGAGTTTGGCTGCAATGATCGGTACCAGCATTCTGACAACGAGTATTCCCTACCAGGAGGGCTTTGGACCGAAGCAGATGGCCTGGTTGTTGCACTGTGGTGTCATTGGTGCTGTTCTAGCCCCAATGTCACTCCTTGGAGGTGCTCTCGTCGTCAGAGCAGCTATTTACACTGCTGGAGTCGTTGGAGGACTGTCAGCAGTTGCTGTTTGTGCTCCCAGTGACAAATTCCTCAGCATGGCTGCCCCTCTGGGGATTGGATTTGGTGTTGTCTTCGTCAGCTCCCTTGGCAGCATGTTCTTACCACCAACAACGGCCCTGGGATCTGGATTGTATGCCATATCTCTGTATGGAGGACTCGTTTTGTTCTCAATGTATCTTCTTTATGATACACAGAAACTCATCAGACAAGCTGAGACACATCCTGCTTATGATAGGCAATATGATTATGCTGGAAATGCTGTCAGAAGTTATGATCCAGTCAATAAGTAAGTTTATTCAATTATTTGTGATGATATTTTTCATTGATTTTATCATAATGATAGCATTCAACATTAATTAATGCTTCTTTTATTTCAATTAATTTTCTTCTAGTGCCATGCACATCTACATGGACACCGTCAATATCTTCGTTAGGATCTTATCGATCTTGGCAGGCGGTGGCAGCAGGCGAAAGTAAATCCCTCATCTTCTCCAAGACTCCACATGTGATAAGTTCCCTTTTGAAATAGCCCATTAAAATTTATGGAATCGTAGAGTACTAAGAATCAATAAAACCATTGAAATTAAATTATTAAATGCACTTTATTGTCGCTTATTCAATCCAATTTTACGACAACCATCAGCTGCAAATATTTTACAAGTTCATTGAACGACTCTAGCGTTTTTCGTTCATCTTATTTTCCTAAAAAAAAACTTATAACCAGATGAATGGGAGAAAATAGGAAATTTTGTCCTGAAGTCTTAACTTAATAGTCACTCCTTATTTCAATAGCAAAATGATCAACTGAAAAAAGTGTATTTGTTTCGAAATGAGTTTTTAGCTAATAATTCAAAATTAAAGAGATATACCGATATTTTCGTAGATACATTTTTTATAGAAAAATATGAGAGCTACAAAAAATGTATTCATGAAAATATCTCTAACTCCGTCCAGTTCAAAAATATCTGCAAAAAACTATTCTGGAAAAAATTCACTTATTCCAGTTTACAATTTTGCGAAAAAAATCATTAAATCCATCCAGTGCACTGGATTATGGAGTACTGGTGGTAAACAGCACCTAGACACTGACATAATCCGGTCGTCCAGGGGCTGAGTACCTCCTCAGATATCCAGCAAATAGCTGCCTCGCTTGATTGAGCACTCGAACGACGTTGTGACGTCGCACCATTTTATCGAAGTGCATTGCCATTTCGTTGTAGTCCATCTGATTTCTCATTATAAAATCACGATGTTGAAGTAAAAGTGTAATACACAGAAACATGAGGAATGGATTTCCCCCACCGAATTCAGAGGGTGGAGGAAGAACAGAGGCATCCCCAGGAACGAAGTGTTCGTCATTTGTGCCAGCTGGTATTAATGCTGTTAATTCAGTTGCCTCTTCACACTGCTCTTGTATGACTTGTCCTGAGGGATTGACAGCTGAGAATTCAGTTGTACTCTGACGCCAACTGTCCCCCTCGCTATCGGAAGCTGAGATAGATCTGAAATTAATTGATCAATCAATCATTAATAATGAATTATGAAACCAACTGGTGATCATGATTTGATGATTAACAAACCTGGCAGTACGTTTCAGTAATCTAATAGGCGTTACCGACTTGACTCCATTCTGATCCTCTAAGATCTCTCCATCAAATTCCAAATCAGCAGCCTCATCCGGAGTAGTAGTACTCGTGGGTATCTTCTTATCTCCCAACGAGTGCAGAGGATTCTCCCAAATAAAAACATCAGCTGCAGGACTCCCCCCGACCTCTGCCTCTCCCTCGACAACATCAAGACTTCCCTCTCTCTTCAGTACCCCCTGACTCCCCGAAGAAGATGGTCCAAACACCTGTCTATCCAACGACTCCAGCTCCAGCCTGCGTTCTCTCGTCATCGACGTTGTCATAGGAAAAAAATCTTGATCAGTGGCATCATCAGGTGAGCCATTATCGTCCCTGATAACCCTGACTACTCCACTCTCACTAGCTGCCCTCCTCAATTCCCTCTCGTCCCCAGCAGGTGTCACCTTGCTCCTATTCAAGCTCGTAAAATTCAGAAATTCATTTAAATTCTTCACCACCCTAGCGCATTTTTTCTCGTGTTTTTCACCAGCCTCTTCCCCATTAGTCCTTTCAGTTCTCTCAGTCTTTTCAGACTTATCATTCCTCTCACTCTTCTCGTCCATCTCTCCCTCCCCTGAATTCTTCTGATTCCTCACCAGAGTGTTGTTCTCTTTTCCACAATTATTCAGAGAGCTGTGACCACTGCCTTGGGCGATAGAAGCCGAGGAGCTCTGCCTCCTGATAGCACAGACCTTGGTGTAGGCATTCTCCCTGAGATGCTTGATGTGGGGAGAAACCGGTGGTGAGGGTGGAGGAAAGGGCACCTCAGCAAGAATGAGTTCACCCTTGGGAGGAGCTGCTGGAAGAGCTGCCCAGAGAACCTCCAGCATCCTGAGAGCATCCTCAAGAGCAAATTCCCTCTTCATCTCAAGGAGAAGCCATCGATAACAGAACAACAGGTCGTCAGCCTGATGGCTCTTCAGATAAGCATAGAAGTTGGGATCGTAATGCTGGAGACCCTCCGCGAGGTGTGTAAATTTGGTGGTCATGGCGATGCCATCCAGCATAAAATTGTCCTTGAGTCGTCTCATGAGGGCACAGAGGCAGATATAAGCCTGGGCCTCGTCCCTCATGGTGATGAGCAATGGTGATGCCAAGTCGCTCATCCCCTGGCAGTAGGAGACACTCGGATGATTCAACGCGTATGTTGTGAGAATATTGAAGAGGCTTGCTGTGTTCTGATTGTCGTCAGAGCCACCGTAGAACTTGTGGTGTCTGTCTGTTCTCAGTACGTCTTTTCTCACCATGCTCGTTACATAACTCAAGTCCCCAATATTCTGATTCCTCTGGACGAGAGCCCTCCATTTTTCCCTGAGGGACTGATACTCCTGGGCCTTTCGCTTCATGTAGTCCATCCTCTCGCGCCCTGACATGCCCTCGGGGTAGACATTGAGGATGTGCTTCCAGACAACTTTTCTCAGGCTTGGCTCGATCCCACCGAAATAGATGACAGCCCTGAGGTCTTTTGAATGGATCACCTGGCCAATTGGATCCAGGAATCTCCGAAATTCGGCGTCTGTCAGTGGGGGACGAGGTGGTGGCTGCCCTGGCGTGGATGACTGGACACTCTGCTGGGTCTCGTCACTCAGATTTCCTAGAGCTCTTTGCACGAGGCTCAGGGTTCTCTCCATTTTATTCATTATCAATCCTGGGAGCTTTGGTGTCTTGTAGGGGAATCCAGTCTCTTGCTGACGCACTGGCAACTCCTGGGTGGATTGCTGCTCTTCCCAGTCGCAGTCGCAATCCCCAGATTCGCCGAAGGGTTTCAGATTCACCTGGAGGTACAGGTAGGGCTCTGATGCACTGGAAAAGATTCGTTTTAAATCGATTTTTTAGGGGAAATACTTGGGGATTAAAAAATTGATGGCCTACCTTATGAAGGCAGCATCCAGGTCCCAGTCGGATAACAAAAAAAGATAAGTCTCTGATCCATAGTCGTCAATAGCTCTGTATGATACAGTAAACTCCCTGAAATCATGGAATTCAATAAAAATTTGTTATTAAGAATAACAAAAAATCCTGTTTACCCTTTAATATCAAATGCTTTGATAAGAATGCTCTGGAGAACTTCAATGGAAGTTATCTGTGGATCAACACTGAACTTCCTGTACTCTGGCTGATGCCTGGTCTCGCATTTCTGGAAAATCAATACCCCAAGATAAAATGTGAATTGAGAAAGCTAATGCATTAGTGCGCCTCAACAAAATCCTCTAAATGTAAAAAATACCTTCACTTTGACCCGCACTGCCTCCCGGGGGGAGCCAAACATCTCAGTCATTTTTCTGGAATTCTTGACTGAATAGCTGATGAAGTTGATCTATACTATTTATTCCTGGAGATGTGTCCAGGTGCCCAGTGCCAGGGCTCTGGAATTCTTTTCATTGTGTTCTCCCTGTTACTTCAGCGATGATCCAACAGTTTCATGTACTCAAGAGGAGAGAAATCATCAATTGTGTGGAGATATTAACGAGTTGTAAGGCGGGATTTTCTGGAGAATGTCTGGTGATGAGGTTAACCACCAGACAAGGGATTATTTTCCCAGAAATAATGACTCAAAAAGTCTGGAGTAAACATAAATAAAGCTGCCACGTTGGGGGTGCATTAGCTGCTGGTCTCATGAGCAATTTTTGGTGAGTGTCTACATGAAATCTATATCACAGCTGGCACTATTGATTTTCATACTCTCTCACTCACAGAATTTCCTTTGAGACAGTCATCACCATTGCAAACCCGTAGAATTGGGGGTTGGAGGATCATTGGTGATTGTCTATTGTTAATTTTGTTTGACACCACTGTTACACCCACGTAGAGTATCTGATGGGTTTACTGGAGTGGATCAACACGATTTCAGTCTTGCACGGTTTTAAATTCATGGTAAATGCACCCATGGGCTTTGTCTATAGCCATTGCATCCAAAAAACTTATCTGCGGTTGATAAAGTCACTGTTTAAAGTCAAAGTCTTCCAGGAATCAGGAGGTAAGCCACCGACTTGAGTTAAATCGACAGTTTATGAATTTCTCATCATTAATTAGCGCTTGTTTTTTTTTACAGTCGCTTGAAAGAAATAAATATAATAAATATTCCGAAAGAATTTCTTGAAAATAAACGCAAAGAATTCCTGAATTCCTAGCAGAATTTCCTTGTTTCAATTTCACTTGAGTGAATTTCAATTAATTCAAAGAATAAAAATATTCGAATATTTCAAATCATCAGAACATTTTTACAGGATTTTTTAAAAGAACTATTTTCAGCTTCAAAAATATTTCATAAAATCGATAAATGTTTACGTTACCCCCGGGCTATCGGAGGTCAAACCTCTTTACTCTTTCGGTATAAATCACCCCTAAATTAGTAACCCAAACACTATCTCCAAACATTCCAATCTTGTAACCGAAGAAAATCATCAAGTCAACATAATCATTGACGCGCAAATGAAGAGATTGAGAGGCAAACAAAAAATTGGATCTCTGGCAAATAATCTAATAGCTGAGTCTGGAATTTCCCATGTTTATCGAACTGTGATGATTCCACCGAGTGATGATTCATTGACGGATGCCATGAGACCCTGATAAGTGGTAAAAACTAATGAGACAATAAAGGGTAACAAGGAGAGAGGAATCACTGATGAAGACATTGAGAAGACACCGAGCTCATGTGTGCGTTCGACGACGATGACGTATGTGGAGGTGCGTTCAGGGTCACGGGTTTTGGCAGTGGAGCTAAACCTCAGTTCATTAGATTGTCATCTGTAGTTCATTAAAGTAGTCGCTCGGAGCTAGTCGCGATTAAAACTTTCACCACTTCAATTCCATCCTCCCTAAACAAATATGTAAATACTTTTTAATTCATTTTTAGTTCATGATGTTCAAGATGTTGGCTGGTGTTCTCTCGTTTATACTAATCTGGAATTTCGGTGATTGTCTGGATTGGCCTGTCAAGACTATCGGCAAGTGCTGTGCAAAGGGTGAGATTATTTCAGCGGGTAAAAATTTTAGTTGCGTACCCCAGAACATTTCATCTGAACTTTTGAAGAATGAGACAATGGGGGACAACTGGGTTCATTTCGACGAGTGTCCGGATGCCGGGGAAGTGACTATCGTCAAGTTCAGTGATGTTGTTGATAAGGGTATCGACAGGATAAACGCGTCCTCTGGGTGTCTCGATCTCTTCGACGGGGAGGACAAACTCGGGGTGATTCCGGTGATTGTTCACTGCAAAGAACATCATTTTGCCAGCCTCCGGATACCGAAACTCAATCGATTTAGGGTCTGCTGTCCCAGGGGTTTGATCTATGACTCAATCATTCATGATTGTATCTGGGATAAATCAATTGATCGTTTCGATATTGCTGATTATATTTTTGATATTATCGGGAACCACTCGCTTGTTGAATTTTCGAGTTTCTCTCGAGGTCCACCTCAGTGCAAACATGCGATAGTGGATTATGTCATCGATAGCAGGACGGATCTACAAATTCTTGGAAATGGCACTATTCGGGTAAATATAGAATGAGAGCAATACTGGAATTTTTTATTTGAGTGCTCAAAGCTTTTACCGATTTTATGACTTCGCGGTTTTTTTTGGGGTTCTTTATTTCTGGAGACATGAGAATCGTTTCTCAGTTTTGGGAAGAGATCATTGGTTTTACGATTTTATAATTTCTTTTCTTTCGTGATAATTCGGAAAATTCTTGAAACTCTAGAAGAATTTCCAGAAAATATCAGAGAATTTCATCTTTCACTGATTTCCCTGAATTTCTTGATTTTTTAATGAAATAATTACAATGAAATTCCCAATTTTTTTCAGGGAATCGAAGATTTTCGATAGAAAAATGAGTCACAAATCTTTAAATCTCTCACCAGAAAATTCTCCATCAAAATTTCATCGGGACGGAATCCTGAAAGGCACTAATCCACTCATTAATTACTAATCCACTCTCTAATTAATTCACTGAGTCCACTGAATATTTATTTATAAAAAAAACACAAACTTTCATAAAGAAAGTCAGTTGAATGCGGTTAAAGTATTTTTCAGACAATTCGAATAACTGAAACAAGTCCCTCCCATCCTCAGAAACCGGATAATGTTCACCAATGTTTATTTAGTTACACCTCTGTTTATCGTTTTCTCCTCATCCCGTAATTAGCCCATCCCCCAAGCTCATGTAATTCTTTTTAAAGACCACTTCTAACTGCAGCTGTATTTTTTCCTCATTGTTTACATTTCAGGTTTCAATTTCGTCTGGCACAAGTGTACTCCTGACCGAGGAGAATTCATGCCTCGACAGAGGCACTTCGTCGTGGCTTATCCTGAGATTATGCACTGGTGTGGAATATTGTCGGAGGAATGCTTGTGTGAGAAAGTGTTGTCCCGAGGGCCAGGCGAGAATCGGAAGGGTTTGTCAAACGATTCCACAAGGTACTGTACCACCGGGTGAATTTCATCGGCAACTGGAACAATTCTCCAGGGCTACGTCCAATCACTCCAAGTGGAAACCCTTGGACACAGCGAGTTTGTTTCCTCATTTATTTTTCAAATGTCTTCAGAGAAAACGAATCATTAATCAAATCAATAAATTCATTAGTCATTGAAAACCCATTTGAATCCAAAAATATTTAATTAACATCTAAAAATATTGCTTGTCAGTATTTACGAGTTTCGAAATGAAGTACATTGAAAATTTATTCACATATTCATGTATCATTTCACTGAATTATTGAAAGGTGTTCTCCCATCGCGCATGAATGAATGGAGGACCTCCCGATCAATGCAAATCGAGTGTTTAACAATCTGGTAAATTTATATTTGAAGGGAAATTCGAGATCGAATCGGAAATCATCCGAAATTCGAATCGAGGATTTCGAATCATTCCATCAAACCCACGCCAGAATTCCTTAATAACTCAAACAATTGTTGATACACGAGATTTCCATTGATTAATTAAGAAATTTCATCAATTGATTCGTTTTCCCTCAGTCGAATCGGCTGATAATTAATTAATCGATCGAATCGAATCTAGAAGAATATGGATTATTAATCGGTGAGCACTCATGTGAATATGGAAAGTACTCACTGATGCCCGACGAGCAGCCAGTTATCGATTCTCGTGGTCACATTCACATTCACCACCCGGAGCATGAAAGATTCAGACATCACGAGTACTGCATGGAGATATTTCGCAACGTAACGAGCTATGACGATGGTTTCCACACCGCCGTATGCTTCTCCAATCCAGAGCCTCCCGAGCCCAACAAATGGAGGTATTAATTACGAGAATCATCGAATGATACAATCATCATTTCCTTTTTTTTTCAGATTCGGTATCAATGCAGCCCTGGAATTAACGAGCTGCATGTTTCTACTGATAACATTTCTCGTTTATGTTTTCCTACCGCTTCTACAGAATCTCCATGGTAAAACATTGATGTGTCATGTTGCGAGTTTATTCGCGGCGTATGCCTGTCTAGCTGCGATCGCACTAACTAAACCACCAGATCGAGTGGCCGATACATCACCTGAGGATGATGAGGACAATGAAATTTCATCTGACGGTGGTTGCAAATTTCTTGGATATGCGATGCTATTCAGCTTTCTCGCTGCATTCTCCTGGCTCAATGTCATGTGCTTTGACATCTGGTGGACATTTGGGTAATTGATCCATTCGTCACGGCTAATATCTTGAATATTTCCCTGACAGATATATATTTTTTTTACAAGGATTCATTTATTTGGAGATGTACGTATTTTCAGGGGATTTCATTTCTCCCGAGGGAGTCGACTCCTGGGGATATTAACTAAGTATTAATTAATTCTGATAATCAGCCGTGATTATATTGATTATGACCGTGAATTATTTCGATTAATAATTATCGATATCAAAGAATTCTTTCGATTTCTTCTAATAAAACTCTATTTTAAGAGAATGAATAATAATAATGAGTCCTTGACAAAAATTCTTTTTATTATTATAGTCTTTTAAAGGAATAAATCTCAGAAAGTTCATGCAGAAAAATCTGTATGAGTCCGTCTAAATCGTAAAAAATCACTAAAAAAAATCCAATTAAAAGAATTGAGGTGTGAGTAAGTAAAAAAGATGCACAAACGAGTGCTATTTTTTTTTTCAATTTTTTTTTCCACCACCCAAAGACTGAAGACTGAAGACTGAACTCAAACAACTGTTCAACCGACTCTTTAATATCCTTCTCATTTCACCGAGGAAAATCCAACGGTATTCGCTCCCTTTGACATCCCTCAAACGTAATACTATATTTCGGTGGGATTTGGGTCGTTGTTGGTTGCAAGAGGAAACTTAGCTTTTGTGGCAGCTGTGAAGAGGCTCAGGACTTGAGACAAGATATGGCCCCCCCAGGGGAGTTGTATATGTCCACGCAACCAACTCACCTCAAACCACTTCGGTCAGCCCTTCCCATCCCCCAAGTGATAAGGTGGATGCAAGTACCAAACCGACTTGTCGACAAAAAGCCAACAATATACCGTATAATGTGCATTGTTTTAAAGTTGCACTGTACCTCGCACCTTTTTTATTATCACCCCATTGTTGTTTTTTTTTTTTACCCCATTCTTTTAACACTCGTCTATCTTTAGATTTCACCGAGTCACCCCCCGTGCCCTTTCTCGCGCATTTTCCTCTCCAAGAAAAGGTGAAAACAAGTAACAATGTGTTACGTTGAAGAACTGGGGGCTGTTTGTATACCCAACACGCGCCAATCTCCGAAATAGAATTCAACTAATGTATACAGAGTGTTAGAAACAGTCTCTGGTATTTGAGGAATGCTGGATGGCATGTGCCGATTATTCATTCTCGTCATCTCTTTTTTAGGGGATTGGGCGGCGCTGGGGGGAGGAGAGGAGCACAAAGAAAACGATTTTTTCTATATTCTCTGTATGCCTGGGGACTTGCATTCATTTTGACCTGCGTTGCTGTTACTGCTGATTACACCAGTACTCTACCTACAAATCTTCGACCAAATATCGGCATCGATACCTGCTGGTTCAATCGTAAGATCGTTTACTGATTTATTTTCTAACTGATAGCGTGAAATGTTTAAACAAGTGGATTATCCTATTTTTACTATTACAATATGCATTAGAATGGGGTAATTAAATATTATTCGGAAAATTTTATCAAAATGAAAATAGAAAAATTCAATTCCATTAGTTTTTGGATGTAGAAAAATTTTCGAGGATCTGCGGTATTGGGCGACGATACGAAATAGTATGATATCACCTTAAATCATTTTACCTTTTCGTGAGAGAAATGTTGGTGAGCGAAAAGAGGAATTGAGATTCGTTCTGGGGCGGGCGAATAAATTCCACAGAGCACCTCATATGGGAAATATAAATAATGGGATTATTTTCCCTAAATTATCTCCAATGCATTTATCATGGTAACAAATTATCATAAAATTTCTTCAACATATTTCCAGCGGATAGCAGCGGGGTGGTTATTTTTTTCATAACTCCCATTTCAATTCAACTAGTGGCCAATGTAGCATTTTTCATTCTGACATCACTCCACTGCAGCCGCGTCAGAGCTGAGATAACGAGGGTCATGAGACCAGTGACAGACCCCAGGAGTCGGCGTTTCCATTCAGACAGATCCAAGTGAGTCCCTCCATCGATATCATAATTTTCCACATTAATTGGTAATTTATATTTCAAGATTAATCGTCAACATCAAACTCTTCATCGTAATGGGAATATCCTGGATAATGGAGATAATATCAACGTTTCTCAATCGTTATGCAACGGATTTTAATTGGCGAGCTGAATTTTTTTACGTGTCTGATGCATTCAATTGTCTCCAGGGACTTCTCATTTTCATTCTTTTTGTTCTCAAGAGCAAGGTTTATCACGCATTGAGACACAGATTGAAAGAGGGAAGTGGTAGTACTCCTGGGAGATTGAATACCACTTTGCAGGAGCCCTTCAGGGTGCAGAAGAGCACCAGTTGCAGTACTCTCATGTCTACATTTGCCATTAACAATGTACCATAATAATTTGATATATAATTCTACCAGTCCACCTGAACTTCCTCCAAAGATTTTTTACATTATTTGTACATAACTCTTTGTACTTCATGTACTGACCAATAAACAGTGAGAATATCACCACACAATCACTTCTCATTATCCCCCAAATGACTCATCATGAGTTTGCAATGTATTTGGAATGCATTCGGAACGAACAAACATAAAACTGATGAATGGATAAAAACACTAATTGTATTATCACTAGAGCTGTCATCCCCTCGATTGAAGATGAAGCCATAACATAAGTATAATATATTGAGACAAATTGATAATTAATACACGTATCTACATAGAAGTAAATGTTAATATGTACAGATTGACGCCTCATAGATGAGAAATAAATGATGGAATTGGTGGAATACAAGAGAGATAAGGATCAGACGAATCAGGATTTACTATCAGCGCTCTCCTCGAGGTCTGGATCCTCGTTGATGATAGAAATGTCCCTGATAGAGTGCTTCCGGGATCTCCATCCTTCCTGTGGCACAACGAGCTCGGTAGTTTTGGTGAGTAATCGTGGACCACTGAGTGAAATAATAACAGCGCCAGTTGGAGCAGTTAGGATAATCGACAGAACACAAAGTGTTAGAGTTGTCTCGGCATATCTCACAGCATCTGGATCACTTCTGTTTATCTCGTCGAGGGTGACTGGACCAAGGGCAGCCTGGACTGTTGCCTTAGCCATGCAGGCAAGGGCTATGAATATCTTCTCCTTGAGATTTAATCGTGAACCAACCCCAACCAGAACTGTCATTAAAATTCTCAGGACAATTCCAGCTATTAAACAACTGATGCACAGATAAACTGTCCCACTGTCTAATTCGTTTATTTTTATTTGGGTACCGGTAACGCTGAATAGAATCGGCTCGAAGATCATCCAGAAGATCTCGAATGATATCGTCACTGGATTCTGAAAATTAATCGATCGATTGATTATTATGGAATTAATTAATGCATTATTTATGATCAATGAAAGGACGGAGTAGGGATTTAAATAATATTTGTGGTGTGATGCTGAATTTTAAAAAATAATTATTTCTCAGAAGTTTAACCGATTTTACTCATTCAGTCGTCTATAATGCCAATTTTACGATTATTTTTACACCGGTTACTGTACGATAATCTCAGCCATATGGTAAATACATTCTAACTGGTATAAACTAATATATCCCATCTACAGCCTGGCCAATCATCATTATTCGTATGTCCTTCGGAACAAGTCGCCGTGAAAATCGACAAGTTCCGCTCTCAGCTAAACTGACGGGAATCACGATTCAAGAGCAGTGCAGATAGTTTAGATGACGAGATATGATAAAGGAAGTAGGACAGGGTCAAGAGTTTCTGAAATTTTTGGAATCCCCTGAAAATCGGTTGTTCAAAAAAGTCGATTGTCAAGACCTTCATTTATTTATATTCAAAATGAAAATATCGAGTGTTAAAATCAGATGTTCTTCTGATTTCTTCATTAAACTCAAGAGAATTTTCATTCAAAACCAAAAATTTATTTGAAATCGTCTTTTATTTTGAAAGAAATTTGATTTTGAAATCGATTTTGTAATGAATATAAGAGAAATAAATATAAAAATTGATTTATAAAATTCTTATTTTTCATTGGAATCATTCGTAGGGGAGGAACACAGAGATATGAAGAATTTCCTCGAATTCTAAAATCGGCAGAGCGATTTCAGAGTTTGTTTGCACTTCAAACTTTCTCATTCTGTTCGAATGTGACTTCTCAATTTGATTTATCACTCCTCGATTATTCCGAGAATCATCGTAATTACAACGAATCCATGTACGTGCTATTATTCCAGAGGCAAATATCAACGGTTGCCAATTAATTAAGGGAAAGGGCAGAGAAGTGAAATAGAAGTTTCCGCATTAACGATAACTGAGTCCGTCGTAATTACAAGCAGTGTGAAATTCAATTAAAAATATTCTTCTGATTGGACGTCAAATGAAGGTATGGATTTTTTTAACGAATCTGCATGTGTGTACTTACATCATCAATTTCCCATCCCTCCTGCTGCCAGAAGTAACAGCTGACGAAGGCAGCAGCAACTACAGCCAGTGGTCCAGCTCCACCGAGTTCAATGGCCTCACTACCAAATACAGCAAGTAAACCCCCAAGCAGAAGCATCAGTACTCTAAGAGGCACCATAAAAGGCTGAAAGACAATTTCCACTTGAAAGAATGAAAAAATTCCACAAATTGTAAACGAATTCACCTCGATTTTCACTACCACCCATTTTAGATTGACCATATCTCGGAATCTAGGACGGATATCGAAATTTTTATAATTACCTTTTTTATAGAACTAATTGAGAGTTACAAAAAAGGTTCTTATGAAAATTTTTCCATCTTCTGTGAATCTGGAGATATTTCAATTGTTTGGGTGATAGGAATTGAACCGATTTTCGTGGCGCGGCGAGGAACTTACGTCTCCCTTTTCTGGAACATATTTAGCAAGGCATCCCCAAAGGGCTCCGAATCCGAGACCTCCAACGATAGCTAGGGGTCCCTGGAGGATTTGATACCACAGAGTATCATCGGAGAACAGAATACTCTTTAAAATACCGAATCCAGCGACGGAAACAGCATCGTCGATTCCAGATATTCCAATAATCAATGTGGGAATTCCCTGCAATACAAAAACATAAAATTCCATATCAACTTTAATTTCTAGGAGTAATTTCGAGCCATTCGCCACTAAATCCAATCTGTTATGACTGACAGATTCAGAGAAAAATCTGGACTTGCATAAATAAAAAATGAATGATCCTGGAGAATTTTGGAGTCTGAAGCGTGTGGATGTGTGTCCCGAGTAAATAATTTCAAATAAAATGGAAATGGCAATGAATTTTAATGATTGTTGAGTAATATCGGTACCTTGGCGACTCCATAGCCTTTGCTCCTGAGTCTGAAGAGACAGGGCACGATGACAGCTGGTGATACAGCAGCAACAACACTACCGATGAGTAAACTCCAGAGCCAGGGTAAATCCAGGAGATATTTGCTCATCACTGTCACGACAACTGCCTCCACGAGCCAGGGGACCAGTCCGATCTTCGGCATCGTGATCTTCTGTCTCCTGACAGCATTTGGATCCAGATCCAGACCAGCACGTGTCAGGATAATCACCAGCGCAATCTTCCTGTAATTGATTCATCAACATTAAGTACTCGTTTATGACATTTATAATTAATTATAATTCTAATTACACTTCTAAAAGCCAGGAAAATTCTTATTAATAAAATTGAACAATTGTTTTTAACCTGACATTTTTCAGTTCAACTTTTCTTGTCTTTTTTATTCAACACAAATTATTTTTATTGCAATTTTCATACGGAAAAGCAATAGATGATTAATCCGAAAATGGATTTATTGTTAAGTTCATTCTGAGCTCGGAATAAAATGACAACGCGGAAGACGATGAAATATAAAAAATGAGAGCAAATTATTTCTAATTATTCTAATCATTCCTAATCACATCCAATTTATTTCCCTTTACCGAGGCTAAATAGCCGCCAAGTCAACAGAATTACGGAAATATCACAAAGATGTAGCGACAGAGCATTCCTAAAATATTAAATAAACACTCAAGCATTCTGTTATTAGAGGGATTAAACTTAAGTGAAGACCAGCTGAACAGATTCTCTTTGAATTCTCTTCGGAGCGGAAAATTCAAAAAAAGTGATAAAAAAACAAACTGACATAATTGATGACACGAATTATGTCAACAAGAGTAATGGGAAAAGGAGGAGTGAAGGAAGGCACGAGGTACCTCGTGACTCGTCAATTTATTTATTCAAATGACAATCAATTATCGATCCCCGACGCGCTAAGGAAAACGACCACATGAGTCAAACTCTGTTAAATCGAGTCACGGGTTCTACACCCGGTCAAATACATATGTATTTCACGTGTTTTTTATTTGTTCACACAGACCAATTAACACTCAATGGCTGTCTCACTTTTTTTCTTTCAAGTCACATGAGAAAGGAGTCACGAGACTCGGTCAAAAATTTATAGCCGCGGTTAAATGGAATTTCTGTTGATGGATTGTCTCGGTGTAATCGTTTTACTCGATTTATCGGAGATTCGGATGACTGATATCAATACCCTGATATCGATACAATCATGTGATGGTGTTCTTCAAGGGGAGGTCTACCGGTCTTCACCTGTGAACTCTTTAGCTATGTGGAGATTTTCCATGGGTTTTACTAAAAAATTTCCAGTGTCACAGATATTGTTTGTGTACATGGCCATTGACTAGTTGCGTCATGTTCTAGCTCATTATCACTTGTGTAACGTCGGATTCACTGGGCATGAGCATGTGGAGATTTTTATGGACATCTGGGTGTAGTCTGTCCTGGTAATGAACTCGAGTTTTACTTCATTATTCAGACTATACCTTAATTTTACAATTATATAATTTTGCAATTGAAAACCTATTCTGCATTTTTACAACGGATTTCGTTAGGGAATCTCTGGTTGAATTTAGAAGAGGGAAATTTTTTTTATTTCGAAGAACAATATTTGTAATGCGTAATTGATTGTTCATTAATAATTTCTGCAGAAATATTGGGCAATTTGATAAAACTTCGTCTCGGAGCGGATGCCTCATGTCTTCAGGTGTGGAAATGGCTTTTCTTTAAAGGATTGAGCATTTGTTGCAGAATAATTTGTTGAAGAATAATTTACGAAAGATAACGAGAGGTCTCAATTAGAAATTTCGAGAATCCGTGCGGCCTGGAAGGATTTCCTGGAGTAAATAAAACAGGTAAAGGGGGAAATGAGAGTAAATAGTGTCCAGTTTACATGGGGCAATCCCAGATGTTGACGTTAATTAGTCACGAGGATTTGACCTAGAGTTTTTAGGTGATTCTATGTTTACGTACATCAGCTGATTAATCGCCGATCTCACGCGCTTTGGATTTACTCATGTTTTTTTTTATTAGGATGGGCTCTGATAATTCAAGATGTACTCGAAAAGCTCGTGACGTTCGAGTTCCTATTCTATTTGTACCAGTTTATATCTATCACACTCGATGGAGAAATATAATCCTTGGTACTATAAAAATACGTAAATAATTGATACCAGTTATCTTCACAGCAATACGATAATCTGTCATGTGAGGTGTTGGTAAGGATTGGGTTTTCCTGGTAAATCGGAAGTTTACTTGACCCAGAATAATTTACGTTGAAGCTAGTATCGAAAATTCTTATTCTCTATCAGGTATCCGCCGCATGAATGAACTCACACGTTCACACATGAATTTATTCTCTGGAAAATCTTTAGACATTTCATCGAAAAGTATCCAGACGGAAAACTCGATGTCTACTATTTTAATTTTCCTATAATTTCCTCTGGAAATTAATTCGTTGTTGCATTCAATCGGAAAATACCACAATTTAACTGTAAATACTTGTTCCGAGGTGAATTTATTCTCTGGAAAATCTAGGAATGGAGAATTTTATGGGGATATAGCCGGAAAACATTCTATTGTAGATTTTATTTAAATTTGCAATAATTTTCGACGGGAGTGGACAGATGTTGCTTCCAGTTATCTGTGGGAATTATTTTATCGTTTTAGTGGATGGGAAAATGATATCATTTAACTGAAATCACGGGTTTGACTTTCAATATTTATCTTTGACATTCGAACCTCGTGGTCTCGTGATGTTCAGCCGCTAATTTTTCTCGCTTCAAAGTGCAAAATACTCGTGTTGAATTTCGACAATTTATTTATAAATTCATTCTCTCTGGGCAAAAAATTTACATGGGGCATACGGTGTGAGGAACGTTAAACGCCTTATGCCAACTCCTATTTCATTTCTGGGGAAAGAATTTAAATTCGAGAGGAGCCAAATATATCTTGCACTTGTCTTCTTAAACTTCTCAATTTTTCCGAATTTTTCATTCCAAAAAAATCCAGAAATAAACAAAAATCGAAAATCTATGAAATAAAAAAAAATCTATTTCATTTCCAATTTATTTATTCATCTATTTTTCTCTTAAAATTATTCCATTGGATTTAAACTTAAAAATTTTCCCGTGACAATTCATCAATGAGACAAAAATATTTAATTAATAAGGAATAAATATATAAAATGGAAAAATAGCAGAAGATTTGTGTAAATAATTTTTATTTCATTGATTTTATTCAATTGAATTTGATCGGGGAATGGTTGGGAGTAAATCGGTGTGAGTCGATTTCTTTTTCATGCAAAATAATAGGTAACTCATGATAAAACTTGAGTAATTTATGCGAAACTCTCGACGAGATCTAACAGGTGAGTAAATCAGGCACAGTCAGGAAAATAAGATAAATATTATAGACTGTTCGTGTCAATTGAGCTTTAGAAATACGTGACTTATGCGCTTGACGTTTTGTTATGCGTTGTGTCAATCGACCTTAAAAAACATAAACGAGGCCTCACTGGGACAATGTGTCAACGCCTGCCTCAATGATATTTCTTATAAAATTTTTTCCGTCACAATTCCACGCATTTTTATTTATCAATTACATAAACTCCTATCTGTTCCATTTTTCGATGCTTTCCACTGTATTAATTTCTGGGAATGATTCATCAATGGAATTTTCTGGTCAAAAATCGAGAGAATTTAATTTTTTGTGGATGTGAAGTTTAATGAGCTCTAGGCGTTGACAGTAATGACAACTCAATTTTTTAACGATCATTAACAGAATTAATGAATAAAAATTGTGATAAATAGAGACTCAAATTATTTAATTGAAAGAAGTTTAAAGGAAAACCCATAGAATTCCATAAAATTTCCATTTCTCTGGAATTTCTCTATTTATTTGTTTATTTCTATAATTTAAATCTATTCTTTAACTTCAAATCATAATGAATTCTAAATAAAAAATACAATTTCCAGGACATGACCCAAGATAAAAATGAATCATTCATTTATTAATTATTTATTCCATGAATTTTTTTCGTTTATATCCTTTTTCCATGCCATCCGAATTCGTTTGAATTTCTTGTTATTAATTGATTAATTTTTGGATTTTGGAGAACGGAATGCGAGAGACACAATTTATAAATTTGATTTTGAATAATTTATTTGAGTTAACTCACCGCAGATTAGCGACAACGTGAGCATATCTTCCCTCAATATAGACGAGTCCAACATTCTGCATTATGATACCAGTGAGCAGCATACCAATGAGTGCTGGCAAAGTGGTGAGTGAGAAAATCCAGCCAGCAAAATGTGCAACTATTGCTAAACAAGCTAGACTAAATAGTGGACCACCTGGTGCAGCATCCTCACCGACGATTGAGTACGTTATGCCCCATGCCATTATGCCAAGTAGAAAGAGACACAGAATTCTGGAAAATTTTCTGTAGGTTGGACAGAAGGGACGTGGACAGGCACGTCGCCAACCTGGTGGCTCCCAGGACGGGGTATCATCGGGTCCGTGACAACGAGCGCAGAATAAATACAGCCATGAACTAGAATCACTCAAATTTATTCAAAATAAAACGTGGGAAGTACCAGTAAAAATCGATCTCCCATCAATTTTGGTAATTGGCAATTATCCCTAGAGTTATTTTGAGAGAAAATCGCGGGATTTTATAAGAAATTCTTCGCTAAAGAGACATTTCTCTACTGAGTGGAAAATTAGGATGAGTGCATTTTTTTCTAAACCAGTTTTCAGCCGATTTCTTGGAATTGAAGGAACGCAGCGATTTTCTTGGATAAACATTTTTTGTGGAAAAAAATGAGAGGTACAAAAAAGGTATTTATGAAAAAATCGTTATGTTTCTTCGATTCCGTAATATTCGCTAAAAACTCGGCGAGAGATAAATGCATTTATCCTCGTTGACGACTTCACGACTGATTAGTTGACCAAAGCGAATTAATCTCAAAAAAAAAAATTCTAAACAAATAATTTTGATTATTTCCATAAAATGTCATTGAGTTTTATTTCGTTTTGAAATGATCAATAAATTTAAACTAAATAGAATTTTCAAATATCGATTGCAAAATTCCACGAGCTGAATTTCGAAATGTAAACAATAAAAAAAATATATTTGATAATCTCAAAATTCCCGGATTACAGAAAAGAACGAGGGACATTCCTGGAGCTAATGAGACCTCGGCATTAGCCCCAGCAGCAATTCGTCATCAAGATAATTAAAAATCCGAGCAAAAGAAAAAAGCGAGCACTTGGGAAATGAATAAAAATAAGTGACCATCAAAAAAGAAGAAGAAGAAAAAAAAACAATGCCGCAATAACTCATACCTTTTCAATTCGTCGGAGTACTCTATTTTATCCCGTATCGAGCTGGACAAACTCATAGCTGATTTTTTTCTGCTCTGACCATTGACCCTACCATTTTCAAGATCAAATTTAAATTGAGGTATATTCTCAACACTTTCTCCATTGCTATGATGTAGAATAGATTTTTTTCTAGTTGGTTCTGATTCGTGTGAAGTAGCACTTATCCTCCGATGATGATCGAAGACAGGATTATCAATACCGACAACCTGATCGCTGATGGAGACCCGCCTGCTCCTGATGTCCTCATGGGGCCTGAGTCCCCTGATGCTGTAGGATTGATCACCTTCCATATCAATTCACCACTAAAATTCCAAGGATAATAAATTCAACTGGTGACGAACAGTCACTGATGAACACCCCACAACCAGTGAGGACAAAACTCCGAGACATTAAAGACAGTGTCAGTCCTGATTGTCACAAGCCCCTCTTCTCTTTTTTTTTTCACCTCTTCCCAGTCTGCGATAATCACTCTGTCCAATGGCTGTTCCGACAATCATGCGCTACGTCTCCATTGGCCCATTTTACCAATCCACAAAATAAATCGGCTACAACAAAACTATTGTATCAACTATTGGAGTGATCACCAGCTCCTGGCGATCTCCTTGCGCTCTCGTGTCCGACGAGTCAATGACTGATTTCCCGATTGTACCAGGTAATAACTATCGTTAACGATTATCATTGAACTGTTCAAATCGCTCGGCTTTAAGCTCTCGTCAAACAGGTGGGGATACTCTGTTGATGTTTATGGGGATATTGGCTACTGCTATGGGCTTTATAAACACTTGGGTAAAAATTGGTGGGAGAATTGTAAAGTGGAATGAGAACAAGTGGTCAACGGAAATGGGCACCACCGGACGGTCGATTGTGTTGGCCGCTCCTGTTCTCTGATGTCCTGTCAGGATTTTTTTTTTTAGTTCTCCCTTCTTTCTTCTTTTTTTCTCATCTCCATTTATTTATTCTTCATGAGAACAACGTTAAATGGAACGTTGCACCCAGATCTGTCGCGATCTACTGGTCGCTATGTACCGAGCTCAATCCCCCACGACTTCTCTCTCAATTAACGCTCATTATTATGTGTATGAATCGCGGACTCAAGTGTTGGGGTAATTCGCAGGATGAGTGGAATTCCACTTGGATTTCTTGGATGGTCAATTTTTTTCGTGGAAACACGTGTGCGAATAATTGAAATGGGGAAAATGATTTTCAGAGGACACGCGTGTGGAATCTGTTACGAGTTTTCCACGGATCGTTTCTGGATTGTCGGTGTGGGTTTTGGTGGAATTGTGGATAAATTGGGGGGACGGCTTTCTTCCCAGACGGTGATTTATTTTGAATTATTAAGCTTGTTATTTCATAACGTGAGACGGTGGCGTGGGGAATAAAATTGAAGAGAATATCCCGCTGCATCCGTCCGGGATTTATTACATTTTTTTCGCATCTTTGGAGTTTTTTGCCCAGGATTAATCGATTTTTAGAATTTTGAAAATGCATAATATTAATATTATATTAATATTATATTTTGTTATATTTTTCAAACATTTTTTATATTTTGCGTAAATATTTTCGGGTGTGAATGCATATTCTTCAGAGAACTCGGAAAATAGTAATAATTTCCATTTCTTTTAATCTTCGAAAATTTTTTCGGAAAATTCCAGGGCTAAGGCGAAGATTTAATTCAGTGACTAATGAATCTCTTTTGAAATGACGATTTCCCGGAAAATCCTGAAAATTTGCATTAAATATCGTTCGACAATTTATTAGAAACCTAAAAAAAATTAATTAACCGGTAATTTTGGTGAAAACGGAAGATAAAATGATTGGAGATGAAAAACGGATCTCCTCGCTCCGGAAAATCCTGCGGAAAATTTCCAATCATATTGTCACACGTATAGTCTTACGTCAGTCCAGAAAAATGCGCGATATTTCCGGATGTTTATCTCGATTTGGATTCCGCGGTGCTCTCCGCGAAAAATCGGTATTCACTGATAATTGAGAAGTGGATCTCGATAATATCTCTTTATTCCTGTAAACAATATTTCAGTACACGCGGTACACTATCGCCTGGTGACCGATTGATAAGAGTCCAACAATTTATGCTCAAGGTGAAAGCCTCAATTACTATGAAGATTTAACCGCTTCATTATCACGCACACGACGTACCACACGTAATACCTATCAATAGAAAGTTTGGCGTTCGATGAAAAACCATTATGAAATATCGGAATACCACCTGGCAATTCGAAACAACTTACTGGAATTCGAATCACCGCATCAACCTTAAAACCTAATAATAATCATACTTTAATGATGATTAAATAATAATTCTGATGTAAAGTGATAAATTAGGATAAGTGCATTTTTTTTCGAGACCAGTTTTTACCCGATCTCTCGGAATTGAAGGAAGATAGCGTTTTTTTTAAAGATACCTTTTTTGTACCTCTCATAATCTTCTATAAAAAAGGTAGATGCAAAAAATTTGATATATTCTTTCAATTCCGAGATATTGGCTAAAAACTGGCGTGAAAAAAAATTCACGGAAAATCAATCACAATATAATGGGATTAAGGAGTCACCAGATGGTTTCCGCCATTTTGAGTCTCACAACGGCGGTCGACAAAATGGCGGACAACATCGGGTAACTCCTCAATTCCCCTGTAGTCTTGTTATAAAACTTCCATGATCGAAATTTTAACGAAAACCACTCTAAATATTTTGCCCAATTTTTTTTAACAGAATCACAATTTTCGCCCGCCATTTTCATTCTGATTTGATTTGACTCTCGATTTTTGAGGACAAATCGATCATTGAGCGCGAATTAATCAATTAAAATCGAATGAAAAAAAAAAAAAGAAAAACTGTTCGAATAAAATATGAGGGGAGGGGATTTAATTTAATTTAATAACGGATTTAATAAGGGGGCACGTAGGGGAGGGGGGGAATGTCGATTTAATATGTATCGGTATTATCCAGGAGTTGAGAACATCTCGGCATTTTCAATTCAATCCAGAAGACACTTTCGTGGCGGAATATTTCAATATTGCGACGGCTTTTCAAGACTCGCTTCGTCACATATCGGATACGTGCCTATTTCCCAACAATTCGTCCCACACCATCTTTCATCTCGACGTCTACTATTTTCAATAAATCCAACAAGTTTCCCAAGATAGATTCCCCCGTGGGGTCATGCCTTTAAAATCCCAGAAATGTGTCAATAAAACTATCAAGGATTTCCTAGACACATAGCAGTCTAGCTCCCGTGAATGATTATCATTAGATAAGACGTAGTTATCACTGATTGATACCACTCGGGTATCAGACAAACTACAGAATTAATCTCACGAAAATAATGATTTTTGCCAAGTCAATTTATTGACTGCTATAAAATTCGCAATATTAATTCTCATATTGATGCATTTGTTTAGAATGAATGCATTTTTTTCGGTGGCAGTTTTTCGTTATTATCTTCAAATTGAAGACGGATAGTGGATTTTTTGTTTAAACATTTTTTATAGAAGATAATCAGAGCTACAAAAAAGGTATCTCTGGAAATATCATTATTTTTCTTCAATTCCGAGAAATCGGGTAAAAACTGGGCTCGTAAAAAAATCAATTTTCCTAGTTTACCACTCCGCAGCAGAATTTACTGACAATTAAAAATTATTTGTTTATTCATTAAAATATTACATATAATATATTAAAAATAATGATATGTTGGGAATTTCTAATAGAATTTCATGAAAATTGAATTGCGACTGAGGTACGCGATTTTGAATTTTTCACCGCGGATTTTCTAAAGAGCTGAAGTTTCCGCGCAGATGTTTAAATAAAATATAAATAAATTAATGCAAGTCAACCGGACATCTTCATCCTATTGACTACTGTATCAAGGCCCTCAGGAGAATGCGGGATCGTGCCAGCACTCGAGAACTGTTGAAGCATCTAATTCACTTTGTCAGCTGGAAAATTCCGAACCCAGCGAATGGCAAGCGCCTTCGCCTCCTTGAGCCCCTCAAACATCATTTTTTTATCATCATTTTAATGAATTTTTCTAAAAGATAAAAGAGATCATGAAAAGAGGGCCAAGTGCAGCGATTTACTCCTCGTCGATAAACGATCCAATCCATTTATTTCCAATCAATTGATAACGAGTCATCAACGAAGACTAGAATTTCTCTTTCAGAATTCTAAATCTAGAATTAATGGAAATACAAAAATATATTCACGCGAAACTTTCGGAAATTTTTCAGATTTATCAACCAATTAATTAATTAATTAGATCAATTAATTACTATCAATTAATTGGGCTAATTCATAATTTTGGGGAATTTTTGCATAAAATTTTGAGTTTTCGCTGTTAATTAAATGAATTAATTTATTGAATTGAGAATTTCTTGGAAATCGAAAACGTCAGCCGAATGTTTAAAACAATTTGTTGGTAGTACTTCACCGCAGAATGAATTTCAACAGAATTTTCACTGTTAATTAGTTTACGCTTTACGTTATCACTTGGACTCAAATTACTGTGTTGCGTTGTAAACAGCGATATGTAACACGTTTTTTTTTATTTTCAAACTTTTATAGAACTTCTAAAAGTCCTTAAAATCATTTTATTTTCATTTCCGTTTGGACGGTGGCTCTCCTCAGATGACCATCCCCCCAAAAAAATAGTAATAATAAATAAAAACATAAGCATTATTAAAAAAACAAAAATTATCCGTCACCACTAATTAATCTATCAAACAATTCCTCCGTTTTATTCTAGCCGTTCGTGTTTTCTGAATGAGAGACAAATGGAGATGATTAATTAATCCATGATTTAACAGAAATAATGAAATAATTAATTTTCAGGAGTTAATTAAGGAGTTAAATTAATTAAGGAAATATTAAAGATAAAAATAGAGAGGGTAGAGTGACGTGCACCTCGATGGCAAATGCTCCAATGAATTTATTTCCAATCAAATACCAACATTCGAAACATTGATAAATTTCTCGTCGACTTTTCCTCGAATTACTCACATCACTCACCCATCTAATAACACTCTGTCAATTTTAAATGCATTAACACAATGAGCGATTACAATAATCTTGATGGCGATTTATAATATAGGTTTCTTCAATTCTATTCAAGCTAAAATTAACGGTATTGGATTTACGAATGGCCCCACACTTGGGTTTAGGTAATTTTCATTAATTTAAATTTATTTGATTTAGGTATTATTAACTTATAATTGTTTATATAATCTCTTAATAATTTATTCGTCAATAATAGCTTACTCTGAGTTGTTTGTGTGTTCGTTATGTTATTTTCACGTATGCAAAATTGTGGGGATTAATTCACATTTCTCATAGCCATGAATAATCCATTCATTCAAAACTCGTACTACAATTTTCGATGCATTGTGCGTTCGCTTACAGTAATGCTCCGGGTCGTTTTATCGAGATTAAATCCTTTAAATTCAATAATTCTTTCACCTGTTCATTTGTCACTGGGATACACACGATCAACGCAACCACAATCCCCTAGAATCGACGAAAAACACATTGTGCTCAATGAAAAACAATATCCACTTGTTTTATGATTATCCACAATTAAATCGGCATCATTAAATGTATTCGTTAATTAATTCAATCCCAATTCCTCATCTCTCAATAATTCCACTTGGCTCTGATCAAACATACTATTTACCTGAGCTGATGAACACAAATTAAACAAAATCGCACACAACGATAAACATTAACATTTTAATTACCATGTAAAATAGTTTATCAAATCCCTCTCAATAGTTATCATTTTCATAAAATTGTCTATACCGATATCTCCTGTATCTGCACACGTTTTTTCGCACTTCCAGGTGTACCGGGTTGCCTCAGAATTCCTGGACAGACGATGGGGGCTGGTACTTTCGGAGGTGGTGGTGGTTCTGGTAGAAAATCATCCTCATAGTCATCATCGAGGGGTGGAATTCCCGGATCGTGTGCCTCGAGCTCATTATCACGAGCAGCAACATCGACACACGGTGAAGGAGTTCTGCTGCGTTTGCCAGGACTCCTGGTGATGTACGAGGGTGGATCCAGGGACATTCTCTTGCCACCTGGTGGTGGTGAGCACTGAAATTCCTGGAGTTGAAGCTCAAGCTCCTGAGCGAGCTTGTGCTTGTGAGGTGGACTCGATGATATCGAGTCAGTCATGATGAAGGAGGATAGCCTCGAGAGTTTACCACCGCTCGAGCTGATTGAGTGATCGCCAGAGCAGCCAGCCTCGAGCAATTGTTCCTTCTTCTTGTGCTCGAGATAACTCTTCATCGAGGAGGAGGAGTTTGATGATGATGTGGTAGCGGCTGCTACAGCGGCAGCAGCTGCAGCAGCTGCTGCTGCCGCTGCATTTCTGTCTCTCTGGTGATAGATACCAGCGAATATGAGAATATTCAGAAGAAGGAGAAATATTCCAACGGCTATTGTTACTGTTAGGGCAGTTGTGTAGCTTTGATAATGATTTGATGCAAATTTTCGGAGAAGATTATTCGGACCTGGTGACAACTTTGGATGTGGTTGTTGAGTTGGGTAAGCAGTTGGATAAGTTGATGGTGTGCTCATTGGGAGGGATGATAAATTTGTCGTACATTCAGTTGTCACTGGTGTGATGGACTTGGGTGATGACATTGAGGCTTCTGTTGGCATTGGTGCTGATAGTGGTGGTGGTGGGAGGGGCAGTGCCATTGTCTGTTGTCTAACGGCACCCTCGTACAAACGTGGATTGTCAGCTAGGTGATGATGACGCATACTGATCTCGTAACCTGGACGATGAAGCTGAGGCAGTAAATTCAACCATAGGGCCATTTTGTGGCCGCGATAATGGGAGCGCATCTCTGGTGATTTACTCGCTTCGAGGTATAACTGGTTTATTGAGTCGTACGAATCCCAGAAAGGGGTGCTCTTGGTGAAGGCGTCGGTGTAACCCTCGTTTGGATCACTGGGGACAAGAACAGCTTCGGTTAGCGAGTTTTTTTTATTTTTCACCTCGGCATATCCAGGGGCCAGACGAGCGAGGCATCGACCCATTTTTCTTGTCGATTCACTAAAAATCGCGGAGGAAATTCCAGTAGGAATTTTTTTTTTTTTTGAGAATTCGGTTATTGTCGGTGCGATGCAGTGGAGGTTTGAAACTTTTAGATAAGTTTTAGAAGTTCATAGAGAATTGAGAAATAACATCAACAAAAATTGCAATAATTTTTAAAAGATTATGCAAATTCTCGTTGTTCAGCCGATGAATCGTGATAATTATAAAAATCGCATTGGTTTAACGTTCGCGTTAAAATTTAACGGATATATCACCCGTGACGGATCTAGATCCGCTGGATTTTTTTTTGCTCCACCCCAGGTTTTTTGACGGGAGGAAGAAACGGAAGGGTTTATCGTACTCTGTAACAGGGGATTTGTTCTATTATTTTTATTTCCTGGGCTTTTTACTTCCGGAGTACGTTTCCTGTTTTGCATAAGGGGATAAAGCCTGAAATTGTTGTAGAATATTTTCTATCTGGAGATAAACTGGATGAAATTGTTGAATAAAACTTACCCTCTGCGTACGAAGTTCGAGAGGTATCGAACGAGCATCCTGGAGAGATTCTCGTCCTCGAGGGTGTAATTCTCGAGGTCGCTGTACCGATTGGGCTCGTTCCTGAGGAGAGGAATGCCGAGAAGATAGGGGAGTTCTTCTCCTCGTTGACTAGGTAGTTCACCAGGTTGAAAATGAAGGAAGAAGCCGCGACCACCTGAGGTCGAATGGAGTGACGCGAGCTTGAGGAGTGGTGCTGCTACTTGACCATCGCCGAGGAGTGAGAGGAGACCCTCGCGAATTGCCACTGGACTCTGCTCACTTCGTTCCCAATCCGTGTATTCGTTTCTGAGAGTCGAATAAATCTCGTTGAGGTGATAACGATAGGTGTTGCGGACAAATGTCCGAAGAATTCTGTCCCTCCGGCTCTCGTTCAGTCCATTCTGCAAAAAAAAAAATATTTATCATTCCAAAATCATCTCGATTTTTTTTTATCGTTCGAGATATTCATTAATTACTACTTCCCAAGCTGTATCCCACAGGAATCACCTGAATTATAGCAGGAGAATAAAAAAAACTGAAAAAACTCTCGATATTCTGAATCAGGCTTTTCCAAAATTGATGTGGGGAAATAAATTCAATACCCAATAAATCGTAGTTGAATAATTCACGGTGACAAATGAAAATCTGACATCCATTCACTGCAGTTATTTATTAACTGTCAATTTTTACTTTATTGATCGATTTTTTCAGTGTGAAAAATATTGTTTCAAATTGTTCAATGAAAAAAAATGGAACTCTAACTAATAAACGCGGGGATAAATTAATGAAAAAAAATGTACCTTCATATCATCATCGCTCAAGTCCAGCCAAGCCTCATTAGTGGTAAGTCCAATGAGTAAATCGCGATCACCTAGAGCAGCGAATTCTCCCCCAGGTCCTGGTAATAGGGGTAAAACTCCAGCAGATGAGGCAGTGGGTTGAGCCGCCTGAAATAATTTGGAAGATGAAAGCTCCAGCCTGTGTGAATAAAAACGAGAAGACCTACCTGCACCGCAGCATGTGGCAGGACAGCTCCATCAGGGAAGGGTGCAAAACCGGAAGTGAACCTGGGTGTATCAAGTTTAACAGCCAAAAGTTCCTTAACACTTCTCCCTCTCAAGCAACTGGCAATGTCATCAGCCTCGACATTTCCATCGCATCCAGTCTGTTCAGCAATTCGTTTTTTAATTCCCAGTGGATCACGCTGAATGGCCCAGGGTGATAGTGCAGAGCCCCCCAAGAGGATGACACGTTCTACAAGCTCTTTGGCCATCGGTGATACAGCCAAAAAATTTGCCAACGCTGCACCAGTACCATGACCAAGGACACTTAAACGCCCTGGATCACCGCCAAAGGCTCCAACATTTTCACGCAGCCAGTGGAGACCCGCAACAAGATCCATAAGGCCGTAATTACCCTGGGCACTACCTTTGGAGCTCGTTTTTAGGAAACCTAAGGTATAGAGACCTCGAATATCATCATAATCATCATGATGACAGACAATTGAATATTCACGAGTTGCTAGATTGTCACGAATGAATAAATCATGAAATCGACATTTGGGAGGTACCTCCCAAAATTCCACTCCACGATATTCAAATTTCTCAATTATTATTTTATCATTATTGCGGTAGGAAAATTTATGAAGTGAGCATTAAAAATAATTTGAAATAATTCAATTAGTTCATATAAATATTGAGTTTAGTATGATAAAGAGAATTGAAGTTTGAAGAAATAGTAAATTGAGTTAAAAATGAATCTTGATATAATGGATAATTTTACCTAGAACACCGAGACGAAAATTAATTGATACTACGATGAGGCGACCGTGTGCGGCAAGGGCAGTGCCGTCCAATGAATTGCCCGTTCCCCAGGTGTATGAATCACCGTGGATAAGGAGCAGTGCTGGCAGCAATTCCGTGCTACTGCCTGCAACGAGATAAAATAGAAGAGAACCAAAGAAAAAGGGGTAAGAATGGAGAAAAGTAACTCGATAAAGAAGAACAATAAAAAGTAGCATGTCCCAGTGGGTTACACGTATTCTTCATTTATTTAACAGTTTGATCGTACCTCGAAATGAGAATGGTTATTGCGAATGAGTTTAACAGGGTGTAGGGAGGCTCTGGAGGAAGGTGGAAGTGGGTGGAAGTGGTGGAAGTGGTGGAAGTGGTGGAGGTGGTGGAGGTGGTGGAGGTTGTGGAGGTGGTGGAGGTGGAGGTGAATGAAGGGTGGGATGGGGTTGAGGAGGTGGAAATAGACAGGGACAGGACCATGATACGTCCACCTGTTGCGAATATGGATCCTGACGGCTCGTGGCATATCCGGCCAAGGGGTTGACCGTCAAGATGCGGTGGGATGAACAGGGGGATGATAGGGGGATAATGGGGGGATGATGGGGGAGATAATGTAGTTTGCACGACACCGCACAGTCGAAAAAGTTTTTCCAACTTGAGAAGCTGTTGTCCTCCATTCATCTCCACCAATAGATTCATCCTCCACCACCAGTGGAATTTAATTCCCTGAATGATGGCGGGGATGTTAAATATTATTCAAGCGTTTTAATAATTCACTGGATATACCGCTCTCCATTGATCGTCGTCATAGATTGAGGCTTTTATATTTATAAAGGTAAATGGACGCTGCGAAGCTGAAGAATATCCGTAGCTTTGACACGAGACCACCTCACTCCCGCGGTGCTTGCAGGTTCTATTATCGTTGGATCGAAACGACTACAATGCACTACGGAATTGAAGTGGCAACGCGTCATGAGATAGTGCCGGCCTCCAAAATAGAAAATTCACTTGGAAATCGGGTGGGTGAATTGTGGGGAGAATTGTGGGGAGAATTGTGGAGGGCCAGGGGTAGAGGATGGGGGGTTGTTTTGCATTCCCGTTTGCATTGAGATTGCTATTCCTCTGGTGATGATAAAATATATATATTTTCAGAGTCTCAGGTTGCTCCGGGGCTTTCAACTACAGTTGGCTGGACCCAGTGAGAGACGATCTCCTTGCGGTTTCTCCTTTCGTCGCTCGATATCATTCATCCGGGTACGCTATGAACCGAAAATAGAAAATCGGGGTTGGGTGAGGTGGGAAAACTAAAGGGGAGAGGGTGAAGTGAAGAGGTATTACTGGGGTGAAGGGGGAGGGTAATGCCAGTCAGCCATACCCCAACTCTCGTCCCTCAATGCACCATATTATGCGCTTTTCAATGAATGCCCATATCTCCACAGCATGCAGACATTCATCTCTCGGTATATTTCAGATAACGAGCTAGCCAACAAATGCATAACAAATGTAGCAATTCCAGTGGATATTTCACAGATACCGGGCAAAGTTTCATTTCCGATAGTTAAAGTCGAGAGTTACCACTTGAAATGAAACTTTTGCTGGGGTAGAAGAGAAGAAAAAAAAAAAATTGCATCGTCATTGTTTTTTTTTTCTCTTTCTTTTTCAGAGATTGATATAATAATTACTCACTGTGGGATGGCCGTGGCACGTATAGATTGAGATAAAGGCAGTCCTCGCTCTGATTAACGAGCAACGGTGTAATCCTATCGATGTAATGACGTCTTGGTCTTGAAATAGTTGGATCGGTTGATGGTGGTATCTTCTGCGGGCACGGGGGTGGCATTGTATCGGCAAGTTTTGTTCCACGCCACTGGGTCGGTGTGACTGGTGGCATGTAGCGTAATGCACCAAGTGGTGGTGTTGCGTATGGTACACCGAGGTATGCCTCAACACCTTCAACGAGGGACGAGCGCGGTACAATTCCACGGAGTGTGCCGTATCTCGTTTTAACTTGTCGTGTACTGTATTTGAGTTGTTGCTGCTGTTGCTGCTGATGCTGCTGTTGCTGCTGATGCTGTTGATGCTGTTGATGCTGTTGATGCTGTTGTTGCTGTTGTTGCTGGTGTTGCTGATAATTGAGTGACTGAAGGGGCTCATGCTGCTGGGTATGTGCAATTGGTATAGTACCAGCAATAGACATACCAATGATGAGTAATTTGTATAGTTTAACAACTTGCGTCGGGACACTGTAGGATTTACAGGATTTCTCAATATTCCCGATAGCAGTTGTCCAGGAGGGGCGCGTCCGCATCGCGTCACGCCGCCGCGGCCCGCCCCCCCGGACCACCGCATCTGTAATAGTCTTTCCCTCCTTCTTTATCTCCTCCTTCTTCCTCTTCCCCCAGTATCTCAATCTCCTGCTTCAACTCACCACCACCTAATTTATTATAACTGTTAATATCGACAATTGTTACACCAATGTCTCCAATGAATTTATCACCCCCGCAAATCACGTTAACGGCAAATGCTCTATCGATGAGCCGGTACCATCGACAACTCTCGTAGCAGCCCAGTAAATCACCAATACTAATGATCAACCAATTTAAATTCCTCAGCACCTGTAAATACCCGGACGATGGCCTCGTCAGCACCGTCGTAAGCCACGTTGATGCTGTTGACGATCCCTCCAGCCACAACAGTTCCATCATCTGGCTGATTTAATCAGCCGTAACTTCCCTAATCCCGTAGCCTCCTCATCAGTCTCCACCGACATCAAACCCAAATCACTCGAAATCCATTGATCCAATCGAAAAATAAAAAAACATCAGTATCCAATATCACATATTGGCCTAGATGTCTCACGTCTCCATCCTGGAGAATAAGGACGGTATGTCACCCAAGTTATCATCACGTATCTCATCACATTCCAACAGACATCTCCAAAGTCTCAACGTCGACTAATGTACCACCTCTCACCTCCCAATACCTTATATACCGTTCACTAGTACGCAGATTTGTCTCGCGCATATTCTCCCTACCCCTTTGATCCACTCATTCCTCTTCATATCACCCCCAGAGCCACCTCCTGCCACCTCCTGCCACCTCCTGCCACCTCCTGCCACCCCCTTTCACCTTCTGCCACCCCTCTACCACCTTCTACCAACCCCTCCTGCCACCCAATGTTCGACGCGACTCTTCTCTTTTTCACTCTCGCTCGTTATATCATCCACCCAAAAGGTGCCTGTCGAGGGTGAACCGTCTCCCAGGCACCGCAGGACACAACTGCCGCGGCAAATTCACTCCAGCGCGTTGCCGTACGCTGTACGCTGTACGCTCCGGGTACACAGCAAACCAACCCCAGGGGCTAAAACCTATATATGTGTATTCAGCTATCGACGACGCGCGCCGACGCCAAAGCCGGGGCTTTTCACCCAACTACAACCACCACCAACCACCCACACACTCTTCAAACCAACCCCCCGACGATCGATACCACCACGGCAACCCTCGCCAATCCCGGTCATCGCCGCTCTTCCATCTCCTCTTCCATCTCCTCTTCCATCTCCTCTTCCATCTTCTCTTCCTCCTCTTCCTCCTCCACCTCCTCTTCCTCCACCACCTCCTCCACCTCCACCACCTCCATCACCTCCACCACCTCCACCATCTCCACCACCTATTTCTACTAAGCATCCTCCACTTCCTACGCTTTAGTCCTTCACCCATCACATCCTTGTGGAACGAGCATCCACTCGCCTTCAACCCCCCACCCCCCAAGCGTTATCACGACTTTTTCATTCCAATCGTCCAGAAACCCCCCGACAAAAAAATTGCCCACCTTTCGCTTCACCCCATCTCTTCATGTTTTTTAAGAAACAAAGAGGCTGGGCTTCTTAAATTCTACCCTTCCTCTACACCAATCTGTGGCACTCTGCCAGGTACTACCTTCTACCCCTATGCAATATTTTCAACCCCCACCCTTTCCCTGGTTTTCTTGTTTTTCGTAATTTGGGCGAATATCGTGGGAATTATTGAAAAGTTGAGATTCATCCGGCTCATGCGATCCATCTCAACATTTTTGGGGATGGGGGATGCAAAAAGAATCATCGATCCAACTCACAGATATTACATCATTCACATTCCTCGGGGATGATACGTCGGACTAATATTTACGGGGGTGAGACCATTGCTCTGAGGGGTGAGGACTTTTGGGGGATTATGGGACCTTCAAAGAGAACTCTTGACTCTTCTCATGGCCGTCATTACGGATGGCTTACTTCGGGGATTGAGTTTTTTATTTTTTTCACTTGCTTTTCATATTCTGATAAAATTACTTCTGTCGAATAAATTCAGTCGTCAAAATTTAATGAACAATTAATCGCTTCAGCTGAATTATTTTTGAATATTCATGGGGGATTTATTTCTGGAGAAATAATTGGAGTTGTGAAAGTAATTATTATGATAATAATTGTTTTTCAGAGTGAAATTCAAGTTGAATTCAAATTCTCTGAGGGAAAAATGAGGAAAATCGACGCCGAGGGGTGAAATTCAACCGGAGAAAAATTCACTGTGACGATTGATAAACTATTTCTTTCATCTGGATTTGTTATCAGTGAGTTGTGATAACCCAGAGCGAAGAAAGATCCCGCAAAATTAATTTACATCGGCTGGAGTATTCCCGCGAATTTCCCCTCAATTATCGGACAAAGTAAACTTGGATATTTTCATTACCACGAAATTGCTGAAAATATCAGAATACACAGGATGAAGTTTCCATCACGACCAGCAATTGCAATATCAAATTACGAGAGAATAATAAAGCTCAAATAACTGGTTAACTTCATTATTGCATTGACCCACTAATCCAGAAGCCAATTACGAAATAAAATTAATCAACACTATTTTAAGGCCCGAATGGACTGTCTGGAAAAGATAATTTACTCCAAAATTGGGACGTCTAATTACTCCGTCAATTAATCGTTTTTTTTTTAATTGTTAGCTAGCGGCCTAGTTGTTGACAACCGCTAGAACGCTAGCTAACAATTATTGAAATAAATAATTGTTAATTGAAATAAATAAATGATCTTTTCTAGATAATCCACCCGAGCCTTAACAGTAATAATGAATTTTTAAGGCTCGGGTGGATTATCTAGAAAAGATAATTTACTACGAAATTCGGATTCCTAATTACTTTGGCAATTAATCGTTTTTTTGGAATAAATTATCTTTTCCAGACAGTCCATCCGGGCCTTAAAAATCTTGTAAACGAAATAATTAATTTACTATTCGACTAATCTACACATAAAAAATGTAAACGTAAATTACAATTTCAAACTCATAATTCATGAGATTAAAAACGTAAATTACGTAAAAATGTAATTCTAGGACACATATTTAGCAGTTATCTTTAACCAACGATTATTTTTTCCGACAAAAACATTATAAAGTCGATAATTAATCTTTAGTCAATGAAAATCAAATGTTTGGAAAGATAAACTATCAGCGAAAACATCTAGATTGACAGGATTTCCGGATAAACGGCCATAATTTTTAACCGAGGGACACTTAACAGTCCTAATGACCCTCATTACGAATCGGTCATTCAGCTAATTGAGTTTGAACTCCTGAAAGTTTTTGGGACTGGAGTTGGCACTCAGTAGTGATCCCTCAGTTAAACTCAACGAAAATAAAATAAGGTAGCAATGAGAACGAATAAACTGATCATTGCCCTCTTGCTATCACTGAATTCCAATAAAGTTGAGTCCAGAATAAAATACCCTGACGATTCTCCATGGAGCTGGCTAGACACTTCCCGTCAATTCTACCTCCATCATCAAGAAGAATTCTCCCTGGGAATGTGTATCACCTCGAAATTCCTGAAGGTAGGGAGCTACATCGAGGCGAATTCCCCTCATCCTGGATTAATCGTGAAGCTAGTGTCGCTGGATCCAAGTTTGGATAGTGTCAATGGACCAATGAAAAACTCCTCAAGAAACATCGAGGACTCATCGAAATTAGCGTCGTTCCAGAGCGACACGAGTGAGAGATTCACGAAAATAGCAACGAAGAGTGTGATTGGGGGAAGGGACTTGTCGCCGATTAAAAGAATGGATGAGGCCATTCTGGAGTTTGCTCTGGTCGATGGAATAAAGGAGAATTCAATCATCGTCGTGGTCCGTAAACTCCTGGGGAGTCTAGTCACTGCTATTGAGATTGTCGCCACACTGGTCAAGTCCTCAATCATCTTCTCGTGCACCTGGGATTATATTTACACCAAGTGTGCCCAGTGGATCAGTGCTGGAGCTAATTAAATATTAAATATTCATCCACTGGTGCTGAAAGCTGCAGAACAATCAGAGACATCACGAATTATGTGAAAGCAAAGGTTTGACTCATCAATCCCTCAGTTTAAAGTCCTTATTTGTTATCAATGGAATAATATATTGATTAAATACCTGATTAAATAAGTGAAGATGCTGATCAATGCTGGGGGACTGGGGGTTATCAATAATTTCTGCAGCTTCTGGTGTTGCTATTGCGTCAAGGATTGATGAAGACCTCACAGCAATCAGAATAATCGAAGGGCGGTGAAGTGACAACGACTGTATCGAGAGTTTAGTGTATGAACCCAGAAATCCAACTGATAAATTTTTCAATTCCCCTACCACCTGTTGCACCCTTGAAAATCGGCAGGGATCAGCATGGAATATCTCCAAAGCTTCTATCCATGTTCTACGTGCCTGGGCCGATAGAAATGACTTTCTGTCATTCGCCAAATATTTTATTCCAACTCGTTGTGCTGAATAGCTGATGGCTAGAGCATGAGATCGTGTTGGGGGAAAAAATAAACATGGGGGAATAGAAGTTTAAAGTGGACGATCTTTCAGGAGTTAAATCTCTAGACGATGTTTACTGAACCCCATAAATCATTCAGAGATGCTTGAACACTGCGGAATGAAATGCATGGATCAAGGGGAAATGCCCTTCAGGAAAATGGTGGAGATAAGTAAAACGGAAAAAAATGAAAACGAGTTCTTTCACTTCGTGGGGGAATGGGGTTTGTGTTTGTGGGTGAATGGGAACGGGTTATTAATTCATTATGGAGATGATGGACTCGGGTAGTTGTGGCTTTTTGTTGAGGAAAATGACAGGGGTGAAAGGTTTCTCGGGTTCTTCCATTAGGTAGACGTCGGTGACTGAAGACTGAAAAATATTTGGAAATAACGTATGAAATTATTTAGCAGTCAATTGACCGACAATGAGAAAGTTAATGAGAAAGTCTTGTTCGGGGAATGATTGCCTGGAGATTTTTCTTTGGACGGAGATTCCATTTTTTGTACATCATCAACTTGCTTTTTACGTGGGGCCATTCAGTCGTCTGTTTGAATTTTCTGGTGCGGTTGGGAATGGGGTGAACTGCACCCCGGGAAAATACGGTATCTCTCGTCTCTGTGGGAAAGTTTTTCCATTTTCTTGGAAGAAAGTCTGTGCGATATTCAGTCATATTACGGGGCTGTAAGAATGTGGTTTTGAGGTTTTATTTGAGTTGAGGGTGGATGACACTCGGGTACATTGTGTCACGAAACTTTCATTCAATTTTGGATGGAAAACTATTTTTAGGGTAATGAATTACTTGGATAATGGGGTGGGAGTTTATTAGCTCTTGGATAATTGGTGATTAAGAATAAACGAGGGGTAAATAGCTGTAAGGTGGTAATAATATTTGAAAGTTGGGGAGTCACCTGTTGAATGTATTGAATAATCAAATTCAGTCGACTCCACTGGGTTTTTCATAATGTTAAAACAACATTAGGGGATTGTTGACAGTAAAAACAGGGAATGTGTGGGAATAACCGATCGAGGGGTTTTTTTTTTGAAGGCCATAAAAATGAAGTGAATGGTTTGTTTCGTTGGTTTTTATTAGCGATATATTCGGGGTGTGGAAAGATCGGGATTTATGGATCGTTCGGGATCTGTTAGGGGTGGATTTTTTTATTGGGATATGTGGAATAATGAATGCGTTATATTAATGGTTTGCTTTTTATCGGAATTTTTTTTGTAAAAATAATCTTAAAAAACAATCGGACGAAAACAAATTGAAGATTTTAGTGAATTGGTTTTGTTTTGAAAATAGAACGAGTGGAGAATTGCCATTTGACTGGCACATGAATTTTTCAATTAACTTTGCAGAATAATAATTGAAATAAATGTAAAAAATCCGAAAAACCGATCTAGGGTATAAAAAAATTCAAGATATATAATTAATAATTTTTATTACCAAAATGTCAGAAGAGTAGAAAAATGGAGAAATATGGACATTTGTTGAGAGTAGAAGAATAATAATTTTCCAACATATAATCATCGAAATGAATTTCTAAAAACAATTATTAAAACCGATGTTCAACATATTTTTTCAATCTCACACCCATCGATGAAGATAAATGAATACAAACAATTGGTGAAAGAATAAATGATTAAGAGAGAATAAATCATTTGGTGGTGATCCACGAGGAGTCGATGACGGAGAGATCCCTGAGGTAACACCTTCCTGTTGCTACAACTTCAGTGAAAAGAACAAGCTGAGGCCTCGATGTATGCAAAGTAGAGGACGGATGAATGGCAACTGGTTGTCTCGTGCTCAACTGAAAACGATCAATAAATGTATATTCATGAGACAGTAAAAGTATTCTGATCAATTATGCCCGCGTTATCATCCCAATTTATTCAGATATTTACCGTTAGGTAAGTGTTATCTCGTTGGAGCTCAGCGAGATTATCCGAGAGGCCCTCGAGTAATGATTTTCTTAATGACTCTGTGTTAGCACCGCAGCTTGCTCTCTCCAAATTAGCTCTCTCTGCTAATCCAGCGAGCTGTTTACGTACCTCCGTGGCGTATTCCAAGTTCCTGGGGTGAAGAAAATTGTCGTGACACCACGGCTTCTTCTGGGAAGCACCCATATACCCTCGGTATACATTAAGAAGGGTCACATGGTCACCCTCCATCGAGGCAAATCTGTTGGAATTTTTTGGGGTCTATCATTCTGGTCATCAAAAGACTACACCCACGTTTTTCTTTGTCTCAAGAAGTTCGTGACTTGAAAATTAAAGCTGAGGATTTTGAGGGAATTGAATACTCCGGGAATGAAAACTTACGACTTTAAATTTTATAGGTACTTGTTCGAAACTGGAGAGCGAATTTTTCCATTTCAAGAAAAGAGTTCTCACGTTAGTTGAAATAGAGTTTCAGTTTAAATAGCAAATTATTTAAATTTCACATCTGCAAGAAGGAAAAAGCCGATGTGTTTTTTAGAAATTAATTAAATGACATTTTTTTAAATAACGAAAATTGGAGAATACGATCATTGGACATGGAATGTCATGAAATCCTAACTGCCTTCAGTAGTTGAACAGAACATTCATCTGAGTCCCACATTCAATCCTCTATATTTGAAAACTTTGCGATGATATTATCACTTCAATCGTTCGAGTTGTAAACCTGATTCCTCTCTTCCAAACCGTTAAAGAATATTTTTTCTTAAAAGATTAAACGATTCCCTTCCGAAGAAATATTTGTAAAAGAATTAAAGAATATTAACATTGCTATTAAAATTATAATCACACAACAATATTATTAAACAATCACTAATTCATTAAAAAAATTACAGCTGATAAAAATCAGTGATGATCTCAGAAATAAAATCAATAATTCCAGTAATCAATTGACAATTCGAAATGACTAATCCCCTCATCGATCTCCATCACTCGACGAAGCTTAACAAGCGCCAGATGATTGATACAAATGTGTCTGAACAAATAACAAAATAATTAATATCGATCCCTCGTCTCTGTTTACATTAAATTCCCCATTGAGAAGTAAAATCCCCGGATAACTATCACTGATGGAAAAAAATGGTCAATTGAATTTCGAATTCAGGATGCGATATTCGTAAATAAATTACCTAGCTCTGGCAGCATGCGCCTGTTCGCGTTTAGCAGGGGGTTCGGTGAACACAGACTCTCCAGAAAGTAAAGCAATAACGGTTAAAGCTTCTTCAAGGCACTTGTGCTCAACGGAAGCGAGAAGAACCTTAGTGAAACGAGGATCAAGTGGAAATAACGACATGGTTTTTCCAAGAGTGGTGAGCTGTGGAGGAGATCCTTTGACAGCTCCCAGTTTCTCGAGGCAGCCAACAGCCACCTCAACAGCTTCCTTGGGTGGTTTATCCATGAAATCAAAGGTTGTAATATCAACTCCAATGGCCAACAGCTGGAGGGCAACACCAGCTAGAGAGCACCTCTGAATCTCCGGCACAGGCATCTCCTTCATTCTCTCAAAATCATTATTGGTGTACGTTCTGTAGCATTTGCCAGGCGATTCACGTCCAGCTCTTCCAGTTCTCTGCCAAGCCTGTGCTTTCGATATATTTTCCACCCTGAGAACATCGAGCCCAGTGGTGGGATGATGGGTCCTGACTTTGACGACACCAGTATCGATTACGTGTCTTATTCCCCCAATGGTGACAGAAGTCTCAGCGACATTGGTCGACAGAACTAGTTTGCGCATCCCCGGGGGTGAGGGCTTGAAGGCCTCGAGCTGTTGATGAGTTGGCAGAGCCGAGTACAATGGAAATACTTTGAGGGGTGGATGCACCTCACTAGTCTTCTCTAATTGTTTAGCCACTTGTCTCGCTGTCATCACAGCAGCCTCGATCTCCTCCTGACCCGTGAGAAACACGAGGATATCCTCGTTGGCCGGTGACTCCCTGTGAATTTTAAAAGCCGATACCAGTGAGGCGAATGTATAGTCATCCTGGTGTCTCGTCGTGTGGTAGATGTTCACGGGATATTGTCTACCCTCTAGATATATAACAGGTGCCTGAAAGTACTTGCGAAATTTATCTGCATCCATCGTTGCTGACATTATCAGCAGCTTCAGGGGTGTCTGGGATTTGAGCTTACGGAGGCTTTGGGCACGACGTGCCACTCCCAGGAGCACGTCCGTTTGTACTGAACGCTCGTGCGCCTCGTCCAGGATTATTATGGAGTAGTCAGAGAGATTCTCGTCTCTCATTGCCTCTCGCACCATCATACCGTCGGTTAGGTACTTTATTCGTGTGTCTGAGGTACTTACGTCCTCGAAACGAACGCAGTAGCCCACTTGGCTACCTAATTGGACCCCTTGTTCTTGGGCTACTCGACGTGCGATGCTCACTGCTGCTACACGACGTGGTTGAGTTATACCTATGCAACCGCTGCCACCTTGCATTCCTGATGATAACAGCAGCTGGGGAATCTGAGTGGTCTTTCCACTTCCCGTTTCACCGATTATTATCAGGCTGTTGTGCTTGCGAATCTCTTCCAGGAGTCTGCAACATCGTCACCGAGGGGATGAAATTTTTACCCTTCGTACGGTTTATTCCGAGGGAATTTGCGGATTTTTGAAAATTTTGGAAAATTTCGAGGGAATCATTTTCTTTATCGAAGAAAATTCTTAATAAATTAAATTTTTTTCAGGGTTTCAGAACGATTTCTTTGTAACGAGAAAATGACTTATTGAATTTATTAATTGCATAATATTAATTATAATGATTTTCCAATTACGAAAAATGATGTAAAAATATTTTAGAGTGCAAATATTCAAGAAAACTAATTTCAACCAATTTCAAGTAATTCCCACAATTGCATTTGCCCACCGATAAATCAATAATTGGAAACACAATACCAAAATCAAATGACCGCTAATTATTGGGATTGATATTTTTCTAGGAAATAAAACCATCACCGCCATCTCCTGGAAATCAAGGGAAACTCAAGAGTAACCTCAAGTTGTTCCTTTATAATTGTCTGAATTTTTTAATTTATCTTAGAACTAATGACCTTTTTCGATGTTTATAGACAGGTAAGGCCTTCCTCTGCTGTTGAATATTGGGATTGGATTTGACCTCGACCCCATTCTGGTGTCCCTCTGGGGTCTCGTGTTTGTGGATTTTGTTGGGTGGTCCATCATTGAAGAAGTGCACAGTATTGGGACGTTTTGGGGTGAGTTTTGAGAAACTGGAGCTTCCCATAACATTGTACTTAGAGTCTGTGCTGTCGTGCACACCCATTGTCTCTCAATTAAAAAATTAAGCTCTTTGTATCATCACAGAATGGGACAATCACTCGACGACCACTAGGACAATGTATACAGTGGAAACACACGTGTTGAACACTGCGCACAGCTGTTCTCCCTCCATTGATCCTCTGACGTCAAAACTTCATGTACCATACACCATTGTAAACACAGAATCATAATAATCCATAATAATCCTGGAACCCATGGAGCAGATTGCTCTAGGACCTGCACTCCTGAATTTTCCCTCATCATTTCGTAAGACACTGGGTAACTGGTAACTCAACTTGCCTCGTCCGCAGATTTTCTAACAATATCTCGAAATCTAGTGGAGATATCGAAATTTTTGTGATAAGATCTTTTGAAGGGCTTGATCAGCTCTGCAAAAATGATTTTGACACAAATTTTGATGGGCCCTTTAGTTCCGGAGATATTTCCAAAATTAACGAGTCATTGAATTCATTTCGTTCTAGTTTTAATTTCTCAAGGCCTTTTCCTTGTGTTGAATGGAATTTCGGTATTTTATTTTGTGTGGGTAGAGGAAATGAATTCAAGATGACATCAGGATGAAAAAATAGTGTACACAATCGATTATTAAATTGGAATGATTAGATGTTTTATTATAAAACAGAATTACTGTGTACCCACACACTTAAGAAAATGTCTCACAATCATTATTCTCATTTCGAATTTCATTGCTTAATTATTTATAAAATGCACGTGTTACTTCGTATAATATATGCAGTTATGAAAGGGTGAAAGAAGATGAATAAATTCCAGATCAATCTCTTGAATCAATCTCTTCCACCAGTTCTGACTCCATCAAATATAAAAATTGACAACAAGATCTTTCATATTTAAAATTCCGAATCTCCAATTCTTTATCCTACAACGAAATCCTAGAGTAAATACCACAAAAAGATCTTGTCGCCATTTTTCATACGCAATAAACAACTTATCACGTAATATATCTCTTCAATAATTATTGTGCGTCACTGCTCCTCGCTGGACAATTTTCCAATGATTAATTACAGATTCAACCTCTGGCGATAAAATGTCTCTGTTAATAAATCCTCGATATATTATTCTCTTACGTTAACGTTAATTCTATCAATGTATCACAGATTAATTATGCCATGCTACGACAGGGGGGAAGACACAGTGAGCAATATCGATTATCGTCCGACACACGAGATGTTAATGGATTATGCTATTAAATGGGCCTAAACGATGAGCGGTCATCGTAGTGCTCTGTACGTAGTGGTTTTAACCGGCCCTGGGAGCTAAACAAAATAAAATTATTACGTCAACATAATTATTCTACAAGTTAAAGTGCCTCTATCTTCCGATATATTTTTTCTATTTTCCCTCTCATTTATTTTCCCCTTGAATTTTCAGTTGTCAATGACATCAGCATTTATTTATTCACCGGAAGGCTAGAGCTACTTTATCTTTTTGCATCATGCAATCTTTCCTGTTTTAAATGAAATGCATTAAATTACCGTCGCTCCAATTCTGGAGAGATAGCGATTTCGTATACTTATGTCGGACTGGGGCTGTAACAGGTCATCGGCGGATAAATCGGATGTTGATTCGTTGGATAGGAGTTTTTCACGCTCCAGTCTATCCGCTGTTGGCCGACTAGCTTCATAGATCTCTCGTTGTTTTGGTGTCATATTTAGATAGCCTCCGGTTTGAGATAGATCGTTCACCCATATGATTACGCATGTAATGAGAGATACTGGAAAGAACAATAACAGGGTTACATAAAATTTCATAGCGGAAACTAAAGGAAAAACTATCGAGTATTTCAAGAATAAATAGAATTTATTTGGGATCAGTTTTGTTTTAATTCCTCGAGGACATCCAACTCGGGGCAAAGTGGAATGTCGTTTTTTTTTTCTTTTCTCCAATTCTCAATAGCTTTGTTCGGAAAAGAGGATATTGGAAATTCAAGTCGATGACAAGCGTTCCAACGAGAAATATCTGAATAATAATTTGTTCTTCTATAAAATCATGAGCAGAAAGCGTTTTGAAATGCATGGAAATGGATTTTCTGTCCCGATAATGTTGTGATATTTATTCCACCATTCACAGAATAAATAAAATTGCGCGAAAAATCTCTCCATCAATTTCCCAGTCTCCAGTCTGCTCAGATATTCATAAAATTAACAGATTAATTCCAGATTAATAGCATTATAATTAAAATTACCGTGCAAATATTTTCAAAACGTTTTACTTTGATCCCATCAGTGAGAAACGTAAAAAAAATATTGAGAAGCTCACAAAATTCTCTGAAGCAATCTTGATAAATAACTTAAATCTTTCTATCACAGTAAATCCCTTGAACCCTTAATGAAAGAAAAATATTTACCCCAAAGCCACCCAAGGAAGAACATCTCGAGCATGAGATACCCCCCTTTATCCACAATCATCCCAGCAAGGATCGATACGACAGCAAGCCCAAGATTCTGCACAGCCTGAGCGATTCCATAAGCTGTTCCCAATTGATACTCAGGTATAACGAGAGCAATTAGAGGCCAGAGACTGCTAGCCAGCATTGAATAAGAAAGGCCCAGGGTGATCATGCAGACGTAAGGATCGACAAATGTAAATGCCAGCAATCCATGTGCCACAATGGTCCCAATAATACTGAGAAAAACAAAAAGAACATTCTTTCCCAGTCTGTCCACAGCATATCCAAAGACAGGTGAAGCCACTGCTGAGATTGAATAAATCAGAGAAGTCACTGTATTGGCTGATGCTGCACTGAAGTCGTATTTCCTCATAAAATAAACTCTGCAATGAAAATTATCCATCAATTATCAATATTTATTATCAAAAAGCTTGAAATTAAATTAAAATAAATGTCAGAATGATATAATATATTAATCTGTTTCCAGATTCGTTGATTATAAATGAATTATTGGAATTGTTAGACAAGACAAATTAATTGCTATTTTGAAGAATTATTTTAAAGGGGAAAAAAGTGGTGATTATCAGTAATTTATGAGAGAACATCGGAATTGGGAGATTCAGGAATCCTTCAGTGGTATTTATAATTGGGGAAAAGTTCAGGGTGATACGTACTTTCCCAGTGCGATGAAGGGGAAAATTGCGACGTAGTAGGCGATGCAGATAACGGCTATAAACCAGAAGATTCCGTTGAAATATTTGACATCAGTCAGTCTGATGACCGGTTGCTCTTCGCCATGACCTCGACGAAGTACAGTCTCGGTTCGTTTGTCCATTAGGCCCAGGAACACAGCGCATAGCATGGAGAATACGCAGGTGAGAGCTGCCAGGAAGAGAACCACCCCAATACACTGAGAGCCTGAATAAAGTTTTGATACGTAACCGTAGATTGGCTCCATCACTAGGAAATTAACTGTTGATCCTAGTCTTGCGAAGGAGAGTTGGAGACCAAATACCATGTTCAATTCTTTTCCCTTGAACCAGAGGACAGCGTAGCTGTTTTGAGCTACAGCCAGAGATTCTGCTCCAATTCTAAAGGAAAAGCAATTAATGACGATTAATTAATGAAATCTGAGTACCTTTATAGCTTTATTCAAAGAATATTGTCGTCTTTTATTATTTTTTTAACCATTAACGCAATAAAACTGATGTTTAACATCATGCTTTACCCAAATATTAAACGTCCAAGCATCATTGTCCAGAAACCATTGAAAACAGCTCCAGTGGCGAACAGAAGTTGTCCAGCGAGTGCCAGTCCCATGTAAATGATGGTCCCGAGACGAATTCCGAAGACACTATCTAAGAGAAATCCTCCAATAAAACACATAACGACATTTGGCCAGGAGTAGATGGAGTAAAGGAGTACGAATTGGCTGGTGGACATTTCCAGGTCATTCTTGAAGTAATCCTGCAAGGCAGCAGGATTGTCGTAGCAGAAATAAGAGCCAAAGCCCAGCAGACACATGAGTGCCAGTCCTAGAAATCTCCATGGTTTCCCCTTTGGATTACAACATCCATTGTTTGCCACGTCCTCGTAACTCGATGCATTCTGACTCGGATCTGGTGTTTCTATTATGCCACCCTCCATAACGCCCCCCTATTCTTCTTATTATTACTTAGACTTCCTCGAATGATTGTTCTTTGTTATCTGTCAACAGCATGCATGCCTCCACCTCATGTCATTATCTCCTGATGACAATGAATTTTGATCTTTGTTGACTGTTGGACTTGTCTTTATTATTTTTTGTTGTTGTCCAACAAAATTTTAATGCACTAATTCTCTTTTTCAATCCTGCAAGTGATTTTTCTGTCACAGGTGGTTGATTTATCTGTTGTTCACACGAGTTTCACTGTTATTCTTGTTGTTGTTGTTGTTTTTTTTCAGAATTTTTGGATAAATAAAAATGTTTCGAGATTGACAGCACCTCGGAGGAAATGGAAACGTGAACAAAGCACGGAAGCAGACAATTTTTATTCCGTTCCATACGTCACTGTCACTGAACCAGAACAGATCTCCAACAGCCAAGATAACTGATGATTCACACAGCCACTGAGCAGACAGCCCGTCAAATACGGCTTTTTATTATTTCGGGGCGTTCGATATGGTGTGGGTGTTGTGGTTATTATGCTGAAAAAACAGCTGCTGATGGGGGGCAAAGAGGATTGACTGCAGTAGAGTACTGTGCTAAGTACTGCACCCGGAGAGAGGGAGGGCGCCACACGCAATGCGGGGGTGTCCATCAAGTCGACGGGGTGAATTTTATTTTCTGCAGCAGGAATGCTTTTTGTTTTTTATTTATTGTTATTGTATTTATATTGTATGTATTTTCTATTTATAACAGAAATTTAGTCGACTGTAGAACGAGCGGAAGAGGGAAACCACCCCTTGTGGAATTTCAAATGAAAAAAATTATTCAATGTATTGAATATATACTACTAATGAAATTATAATTTCAAAATTGGCGCGTTGTCGAGTTGGCAGCGTGCTCGCCTGCCACGCGGGCGGCTAGGGTTCGATCCTAGCGCCATTCATTTTTTTTTTTCAAAATAATTCCAATTTGATCTTTTTTTAATGGCTAATCAATCAAAAGATTGTTTAAAAACTGAATTTTTGAAAATCGAGAAGATATTCAGTGAAATTAACAATTTTGAAATTTTTTTAATAAATTCCTTTTCAAAATATATACCCCTAATGAAATTAAAATATTGTAATAATGCGTTATCCTAGTGGTAACGTGCTTGCCTACCACGCCGACGGCCCGGGTTCGATCCCGCCGTCATTCATTTTTTTTTTTAAATAATTCCAATTTTTTCTTTTGTAACTGGCTAATAAATCGAAATAATGGTTAAAAACTGAATAGCTCCTCGATTATCATGTTCCCCTGATACTTTTACAAAAATTTCGAATTTTTCACCTTCAGTGAAAATTTCAGTGAATAGCTCCTCGATTGTCATGTTCTCCTGATACTTGAATAAAAATCTCGAATTTTTCACACTCAGTGAAAATTTCAGTGAAGAGCTCCTCGATTGTCATGTTCCCCTGATACTTTTATAAAAATTTCGAATTTTTCAC